CTTTTTTTAATTTTATTTAAAATGGTGGATTGACTTATTTATAATTAGCATGAATTTTAAAATATGTGTAATATAAATTTTGAGATATAGCTCATATAACACAATCATCTCAAAATAATTTAATGACTTTTCATTTATCCTAATTAATTTTTATTAGAATATTTTGATGTAATTATTTGATGGCATTTAGCATAAATAATGGAAAAAAAAATCATATAAATAATGGCATTTGGCATCTTTACAAAAAGGAGCTTATAGATCTTTCGTTGAAGTGAAGAAAAATAGGATTAGAATTTTATAACGTAATTTTCTTCATGATGAACATTGTCGTTATTATATTTATTTTAACGCAAACAATATTCTTATATTCGTATCGGATTGGCTCTTTGGCTTTTTTTTTTTTCGATAACAGCGATATTGGCAGCTGCCATTTGTAGTGAAGGTCAACCGGCAATCATATTGTAAGCTCATTGGAAATATTCCAAAACTATTCATCTGGTTATTTGGCATCAACTTAATTTATTATTTATTTTTTTATAAAAAATATTTATAATATTTTAATTTTTTATTTTTATTTTTTTAATAAATCAATTTATTTTTAAATGTTTTGTGTGTTTTTGTCGCCCATAGTCTCTGGCCATCGCAATTTTTGGCTGTCAGTGCTGGTTGTCGGTGATCATAGGTTGTTGCCGGTGATCACATTTGATCATAATTGGTGTATGTTGTTGTCACTTATGACTACTGCTGTCATCATATAAATTAACTTATATGACGTTCAATAAAATAAAAATAACCTTGTTAAGTAGCTACCAAATTCATCCAATTGAGTACAAATCTTGCGGAAATAATTTTAAGATGATCTGAACTCTAATTTCAATAAATTTATAGTTAAACAGAATGTTTCGACAAAATTAACTCAATGACACTAAAAATGATCTGATATACTCCAAATGAATAAAAAACTTAGTGATATTAGTTGAAGGACAAAACTATCTTTAAATCTAGCTTGATTAAAATCATAATGATAGTCTTGACAAAAGGAGTCAAATAAGCCCAATGTCATTCACTTATGATGTCATTAAGGCACTTCAGTACTAAAAAAAAAATTCTCTAATAAAGGAATTGTAACTGATGATATACATTACTAGAATCATTTCAATTATGCCAGACATTGTGATTTTTTTCCTCATAGGTTCTTCATATAAAAACTTTGGTACTTTTTGGCTTTTTGCAATACTTAGCGCTGTTGATTGACATATATAGTCTTGATACATCCTCAAAAAATTATTTTGATCAAGCACAAATCTCGAGAAAAATCAAGTTGGAAACTTCCGAAATTAAATTTGGGACCATCTGAACTCCGATTTCAGTAAAATTATAGTCGAACTGAACGTCTCAGAAATATGAACCCAACGACACCAAGTTCACTCAATCTGAGCCCAAATTGGTCCAAATCAAGGATCAGAAGCGCCGTTGGAGGGTTCGAACCACCATTTAGATTACAAAACGGCTCTAAACGTGACATGCATATAGTTGAATCAAGCGGCTCGACGAGAAGAATCCAACAAACCCAAAATCGCAGAATTCCAACATCATTAAGACCTTCAAATGTCTAGCGAACGGTCCACGATAAAGGGATTCACATCAGCCATCCATCCAAACCACTCCCCATTTACCACTGATCCTCCTATTTACGGGTCATGTAACTCTATGAAATCTATAAATAGACTCCTCCTTCCTCTTGAAAAGGGAGCCCTAAACCTAAGGGGAAAATAGAGAGATCAGAGATTGATCTTGCCTCCTTGCCCCCTCGACCACCGTCGGAGTTCCGTCGGACCACCACATAATGCCAGGAGTTTCGCAGGACCACCACATGACGCTCTGAGCTCCATTCCACCACCACTTGACGCCTTGAGCTCCATCGAAGCACCACCAGATGCTAGGAGTTCTGTAGAACCACCACCTGAAGCCCTGAGCTCCACCAGACCACCACCTGACGTCCGAAGTTCCTCATGACCACCACCTGACGCCCTGAGCTCCACCGGACCATCATCTGACGCCATCAGCTCAACCAAACCACTACCTGACGCTCAGAGTTCTGCAGGACCACCACCTGATGCCTTGAGCTCCATCGGACCATCACCTAATGCCCTGAGTTCCACCGGACCACCACCTAACGCCCTGAGCTCCACCGGACCACCACCTAACGCTCTGAGCTCCACCGGACCACCACCTAACGCCCGGAGTTTCGTAGGACCACCACCTGACCCTCGAAGCTCCATCGGACCATTTCCGAACGCCTGAAGTTCTGTCGAGCCATCACCTGATGCCCTGAGTTCTGCCAAACCACCATCAGACTACCAACTGATGCATGAATTTCCAAGTAACTCCGGACTTCCGACGGACCACCAAGTGACACCAGATTTTCATCCCCGTTTGTCACTAGATTTCAACCATACGGTTGACATTTGTAATATGATCGCCCTTAGGGACGAGTCAGCCCACTGTAATATACTTGAATTCTAGTGGAATTATTTTTAATTGGGTCAGGCCTCGTGATTTTTTCTCTTTCCATGGTTTTCAACGTAAAAAATCTTGTGTTCTCTGTGTGAGCTGAATATCCATACAACGCTAAGACGTAAGATTATAACTTTATCGCCGCATATATTCTAACCCGCAACAAGTCTAATGATGTTATTTGTTCTTTAAAAACATTCAAAAAAATAATAAAATATATTTTGGATTTTTAAAAATTATTATTATTTTTAAATAAAAATAACCTACTAAATAAATTTATTAAAAAGAAAATTGATCTCAATTAAATCCTAAATATTTCTTCAAGTTGCATAAGAAATATGAACTCCAATTAAATTGTAAGTTCAACTTGCAATAATGCTGTATTTTTTGTATTTATTAGAGAACTATTATAGAGTGCCACTTCAATATATACAGAACTAATTACAAGTTAATCGATCAGAATCGATCACATCCAACAATAAAATTATAAGTATTTATTAAAAAATATATAGTATAAATTTATTCACCCTCTCGTGATTGTAAAACAACTAATCAGCCCATTTTCCTCTTAAAAGAAGCAATTAATTAAACTAATCAACTAATTACCCCGTCCTCCCAAGCTTTAGGATGCATAAACCACTAATTAATGTAACTCTTAATTAATCAATTAATTAAAAGATGCCAACTTCATATGATAATAAAATATTTGAATGGCATTGTAATTTGCCAGTTCTTTTACTCTTATAATTGATATATGCAAGAAAATTTGTAACATGCTCAAGAAATGTGATGAGTTTTTGAAGCATGGGAGAAATTATTTTGTGCGGATGCCGAGTGCAGTTCCCCATCCGGAGACCAACCAGAATGCGCCACGTCAGCAGCACCGAGTGCGGTACCGAGCAGGATGACGGGGCGCATTATGTTTGGTCTCTAGACGGCGTTCGACGTCCGCACATAATAATTTGTTCAAGTATGAGGTGGTGTAATAGGAGTATTAGAATTTGTTTGGGATAACTTTTTTTATTATTTTATTTTAAGACTAATCATAATTCTATTTGGTTACCACTTTCTTTTTACTTAAAAAAAACGTTAGGAAGCTGCTTTTACAGTTGCTTTCAAAAAAGTTACTTCTCCTATAACAACTTTACAACTATCTTTACAAAAAGCTATAATCATCCTCCATATACCCTTCATTACATTGCACATTGAGCTTTCAAAGGTGGAGATAATCGATCAAATGTTCAGCTACTCATATGAAAGAATTTTTTATAAGAACACAAGAAGATTTAGGAATGTTGTATGATTCAGCATCAACTATTCTATATTTTCACTAGTTGCAAGGGTTTCATTAAAGGAGATGACGCTTTCAATATAAGAAGAGTATGATGTTTTCATATGCTAAGGCTTCATTTCGAATGTCTTTTTTACTGCTTCTTAAAGCTATACTTTTTAGTACAAAAATTTTAATTTTCGTACTAAAAAGTTGTTTTAAGAAACAATAAAAAGCTGTCCCAAACGAAGCCTAAGTCCAAACAACAACGGATTCGGTGGCAATAGACAAACACAGCTGTTAATAAGTTGAAGGTTGAGCAACAATATTCGAAGAAGTAGGTAGATGGTACAGAGTTTTTTTATTAAAGGTTAATATTTCGAACATATCCTCATAGAAAAGGGCAATGAGCAAAGAACAGAGACAGAGAAGTGAACAAACTGTCTCACAGTACATTTTACAGCTGATGATCAAAAGATTCCACAGTAGATGATTGAAGGATCTTTAAAAGCGCACAGAAAAAATACAGTAAAGAACAGCAATGTTTAGTCAAAGAAACAGCTACTAAAGTGATAGGAAACGCTCGAAGATTTCAAAGAAATCTTATAAATTTCAGAAAAACAGTGAGAAATCTCCACAAATTCAATTGAAAATCAAAGAAAAACTGGAATTTTATAGCACGAACATCAACTAGTGGAAGTAAATAACAATATACAATTGATCCTCTATTCGAGAGGATGATCTCACTCCCAAATCTCTAGACGTTGGTATAGCCCAAAGAAAACCTATGAGATCTCAATTTTCAGCCAAATTCAAGATGTCCTAATCCTAGGAAAACAAACTATTTACTGCATACAATTAAAAAGAAATGAAATTAAAAAATAATAATAATAATAATAATAAATGCATACAATTCAAAAGAAAATCTCTAAACAGTCCCTACATTCAAATTTTACTCCTAACTCCCTCAAAAAATCCTTCCTTAAGCTCGGTGGGATTTGCAATTCAGTCGGCGCGCACAGGGAGGCGGATTCTATCCGCCTTAGCCGGTCCCATGTAGACCGGCTGGACCGGTCTAACATAAAGCTCCATCGCATAAGAAAATAAGCTCTTTTTCTTCTTGGCTGAATAAATTTAAAGATAGGATGAAATGCGTAAACCAAAGAAGAAAAGAAATGATTCTCTTAAAAGCCAGTAAATTAGAAACCTGACCTGACCTGATTAAACCTTGCCAATTCCTTATTTAGTTGAAGTAAATAACTCAATTACAATACGAAATGCTACCATCTTTAACTAAAGATATAGTCAATACATTTTACACCCTTGGAACTAAAAATCATGTTCAATACTTTCTAAACATGTTTCTAATGCACAAAAAGCAGATAGTCTTCAGCAATGTTCTATACTTTCTCCATCCTGAAAAATATCTCCCAATCACAATTTTGTAACTTGATCTATGTTTAACCATATCATAGTATTCTGCTAATCTAGGCCTCCCAATGATGTACTCCTTTTCAAGATTCAGTAGAGTGAGCCGCGACAAAATTGGAATGAACATTGAGTCGGCTAAAGTAAAATCTTCGCCAGCAATATATTTTGTCTCATTCAACTGTGTTTCAGCTTCATCAAGGAGTTTATTCAGTTTCTGCTCACTTTGTTTCACTAGATCTGGATCCATCAATTTGTCTTCAGTCTCATAAGCCTCTCTCAGTTTTGCATGGTAAATACTGGCTAGATCAGGGGCGTCAGCCATTCGAGCAATCGCCACCCTCCTCACAAACTTAGAAACAAAAAGCCTATACTTATCTGGAATGTGAGATAGTGTGAATATCTTAGGATTCCAGTCTTCAATTTGTTGCATCCACAGCATAACTTCGTTGCTGATGCTACTTTCACCACCATTCAAAGAGACTGTGACTCTCTCTATGTACCTAAAACATAACAAATTTCTTTCTGAGTATGTAAAACAAATCTTATTGAACTAATTGGAACAGGAGCAGGATAAGAGATCTACTGGATTATATCCATGACTTGATAAATAATGTGAGAACCATTTTGAAGGACAGGAAGCTTTGAAGAAGGATTCATGCGAAAAAATGATGAATCCATATGCTTTCCAGTGAGAGGATTTACATGGTATGATGTGTAATCAATGCCCTTCTCTTCTAATACTAGCCGTACTTTCTGACTGTCCAGTGAGTAGGGATGGTGATATAGTTGCATCTCTGCATCAAATGATCGAGGAAGTTATTTGCTTAAGAAAGCCTCATTCATGGTGATGTGCTTTGACAAGCGGCTTTGACATTCAAAAGCCAAATTAAATGATAATAAACATAAGTAACCAGAATAGATAGACACACAATCCCATGTCCTTATATACTCAGAATACTTTACATACACCACCAAATCTATCAAAACAACTTGTGACTTCATGAGAAGAATGCATATGTTTATATTAACAAGTGAAGCAAAAATGAACTCGAGTAAGCATAGGCGGATCCACGGTGAAGTGAGGGTGGGCAAATGCCCACTCTGAAAAAAAAAATTCATTAGAGAGGGCTTTTTCGGAATTTATTAATCATAAGCCAGTTGTGCCCATCCCGTCTCCCGTCGTTCGTAGAATCGCAGTCGAAGGCTTAGAATCCCTCTCGTTTCATCATTCATAACTCGCAAGATCAGATCGCCTTCGCAATCGCAAGAGGTCGCCAGCCTTCGCCTTCGCAAATCACAAGAGTTTGCGCACCCTAAAAAAATGGGCTGGGTCTGCCCCTGTGAGTAAGGAACATAGTTTTGTGATGTAACAAAAATATAGAATGTAATCTGGTCTATCAACACCAACAACCTCCATCAGCTTCAGAAACTAATACTAGATATCATTTCCAGTACAAAAACTTCACAGTAAAAGATTTCCACCTAATCTGCAAAACTCCTTGAGATAGAACCAATAAAAGCTAATACTTAATTATCCTCTTTCTTTACCTGGTTTCATACATGAAATTTGTTTCCTTTGATGATGCCATATTCTAATGTAGATTTCTATTCTAAGTTCAAGTTCTCCATCATTGTACTGAAAACAGAGGAAGCTAAGGGGAACACTACGGTTTTACGAGATTTTGAGGCATCTTTCAATTAGAATAAAGAATGAACAAAAATAATCTGTAGACAGAAAATTAACTTTAAGAACTTCACTTACAGCACTAACTAATAAAAACATTGACGAAGTGCTATTACGGATTATGAAGTTGGTAGATCCTTAATTTGAATATTTGAGGACTTTTTATACCCATAGAACGCAATGTCATCTTTAAGCAAGAGTAATGATTCATATGGAGCTGTAGATAAGGGAATAACTTGTAGAGTTAAAATTAGATGATTAAAATATAAGTGTTTCATAATACTATATGATAAGAAAATATTATGAAGACTTAAATATAATTTTATAAAATTTTAATTAGACCAAGTATGTTGTATGATTAAATTGTTAACCAAGTTGGGTGAGACAAAAATTAAAATATTATGATGAATTCTGTTACGAGCGGACCGGTCCCCACTGGACTGGTCCGATACTATGCCAGGCGGAAAACAGAAAAGGGGCGGAACTCCCCTGTGGACCCCACGTTGGCTCAAATTGAATTTGGGAGGGAGATTTTTGAATGAGGGGCTGTTTTAGGAAGTCCATTATTGTCCTTTATGAGGAATTTGTATAATTAGGAGATTTGGGGGGGAATTAGAGGCATCTTGAATTTGAATTGTTTTGAGATCTAGGTTTTGGTTTCTTGGGCTCTTGGCTTCGCCGGAGATCTTTTGGAGAGTTTTTCCTTCCTCTCGAATTGAAGGAAAGCTGTATCTTGCAAGTGCTTTTCATCCGTTATCGAAATAAAAGTGTTTGCAGTGTTTTTTTTTCCTACGTTTCCTCTCAGATTTTCATGCAGTTGGCTGTTTTTCTGCTGTGGACAGCAGTCTTCCTTTGGATCCTCTTGGTTTTGGTGTGAAACACTTGGAAATCCAAGTGTTTCCTATCAAATTCGTAGTAAATTTATGATGGGTGGAGTAAAAATTGATTAAATTAAAGAAAATTTTAATACTACTTGTCTCTTATCATTCTAACCCTAATAACATCTATAATACTACAAACAGTCAAACATGTCTAAATGGAAAATAACCATTTTACTCCCAAAATTTGGGAAAAAAAAAAGATAAACAAAATAAGTTACACGTGTAATGAGGACCATTAGGATTGTAGATATAGAAATGATAAAAAGACAAAAAACGGCAAATATATTTGATGTAGGATAGCAAAACAGTGACTCAAAATTGATAACTTAAATATAGGTAATTTGCATCGATCAGTTCTCCTCAACTACAAAGAACTTTACTTCAAAGAGTTAAAATACTACTACAAGAGGAACCAAAAATTCACAACTTTATTATAGAGCTAGAAAATCCATCTAAAGAAAGAGATAAATGGAAAATTTATCCCGAGTAAGAGATGATAAATGAGAAATTCAATTAAGGATGAAGACGTGAAGGGGAGGAACAATGACATTGATGAAGTTGAGACACAGTAGAGGCGCGAATCGCAGAAGAGCTGGAGGAGGAAGACGACTCGGTATTGGATGAAACTTGATTAATTGATTACTGTAGCAAGTGTTGATTTAAATACACAAAGTAAATGGCTAATGTCTATACTACCCTGGATAATAACATAAAGTAAAAAAGGAAATGGAGGCTGCCGCAGGGCGTAAAGGCTGCCATCGGTTAGTTGTTGTTGCAAAGAGTAGTGGAAGAGGATTTCTGCTTTACAGACATCGTGAACAATAGCAACAAATGATCAATTTAGACACCCAAAAACACAACCATAAGCTCTAGAAAATTTCTAGAAATCTAAAGGCGCTGAAGAACATTGATAGAGTAAATTTAATTATTTAAAATATACATTAAAATAAGCTATATTTTTTTCCCTTTTTTCATGAAGGTAGATGGCTAGGATGTATTAGGCTGATCAAGTCAATCAGTTTAGGTTGATTGGGTTAGTCAATCATTATTACCTAATTGGGTCTATTTGAATCAATATGGTTGGATAGTTGGACTAAACTCAATTAGGTTAGGTTGGCTTTGATTATTGAATCAAGCACATGCTTAAGGTTTGTTTTGAGAGGATCACCCTTAAAAAATTTTATTTTCAAAGATATGGGGACTCGTCTTTATAAAGATCAAAGGAAGGAAAATGCATTGGATTGTGCAAGAGGAAAAATGGAGCATAAATTATATTCTTGAATGGAGTTGGCTGTAAGCAGATTTAGTATTTGAATTTATCTTAGGTGTGCTAGGTTTAAACTTGAAAATAAAGAAAGAATGTTAAGTATTTTATGAAAGAGGAAGATGATGTTTGTAAGGTTAGTCGAGAATTGTTTAAGACGGAATTTAAAGGAGAATTATAAAATGTTGTGTGGAAATTTGAAGTTTGAAATTAGGTTTTCTCAGAAATTTGGTTATAGAGGATAAGAAAATCCTGGATAGGGCAAACGACTGAGATGAAAGGAAAGTGAAGACTTGATCTTAACATGTCTTAATTTTACCGCATAGAATTCTTGTAAGTATAAAATTCAGCTCTAAAAATATTTAATGATGGCGAGTTAAATGAAAGTAGATATTGACGCAGAACTTGATTACTTGATTTACAAGAACAGAAGAATCAACTTAAGAGAGGGATGGACAGATGAAGAGCTAACAAAGATTAAGAAAAAACAATTGCTTTATTACAGCATTGACTGAGTTTTGTATACTTTGCGAGCACGCGATGCGTTCTTACATATGCGTGTATGTGCCCTCTCAAGAAAATAAGTACCAAGCATGTTCCCCAAGGTACTATAGATGATATCAAAAGCAATTGCCAGCCATAATCAAGTAACAAGTATAACTCATTGTTCCTTTAAATCCTTCTTGTTGTCTTCTTCAAAATATATTCAAACATTCAATCCGTATATAAAAAACCATCCTTCACTTCACAATGTCTCCATCAAGTTAAAAACCTAACTGCATAAATATGGATCCCATGGTTCCACACTAGAGCTCTTCAACTGAATTCAGTCTAAAAGCTACTTTGGAATTGAACATTAAAAACAACACTCACCCTGCGAAACTTAAGATATAGTTTATCAGAATTATATCAAGTAACTTCAGAAAAAAAAATTTTAGGTATTTTTGAAGAGATTTTTAGATTAAGTTATTATATAAGTAAATATTAAAAATTAGGTGTTAATTATGTGAATACATAAAAAATTATGCGGTATGTATCTAAATCTTTCAAAATATACATATCCAATTTCCAATAGTCTCAATTTGTACCATTAAGCAAAGAAAAAAAAGTGGAGATAAATCGTTCTTGTTAAATTCACAAGCTCCACATTCAATGTTTCTGAAGTAAAAGTAAAACAAAGGGCCCATTGACAACTGAATTTCAACCACATGTAGTACAGAAATAATTAGATTTGAGACCAAACAATCACCTTAAATTCCCTCCCAGGTTAAACAATAATCTCAATCACAGACCTAATTGACATCAAAACCTAATCCATTCCAATTATTGATGACACACCAACAAATACTCAGGGAAAAAAAAAAGATCAAAATCCGTCTATCAATCTCCTCAATCCCAATATTTCTCAAACTCATCGACTAAAAAGGCCGAAACAAACGAGAAGAAAAAGTGGCAAACAGAAAGATTGCAGGGGCTTTAAAAGATGTTACCTACTATAAAGAAAAACGACGATCGAATGGAGATTCTGCCTCCGGCTTCCTCTTTGAATGACGACGATGAGAAGTTAGAAAAGTTCCTTTTTTTTTTTCTTGTGGTTTTCGATCCGCGGAAACTTTCTATTGGAGTGCGGAGACTTGGGTCTCTTTCTGTCCGACCTTTCGGCGGTGTGGAGGGCGAGAGCTCCATTTGCACAAAAAACCTTTTTTTCAATAATTTATATAATAAATTTGACAGGTAATGGGGCAACCGGGCAACGCAACCGAAGACCGGTTTTGACGCAGGAGTGCAGTGTTGGATCGCTGCCGACACGGCGTAACGGTCAAGTATTGCCAATGCTAGCCTTGACTGCTCAGCTGTTGAGTTTAATGGTGGCGTAATAACTCATGGAATTTCTTGAGAATTTAAAACCTGGTCGTTTCTTAGAGGATCAAGGAAAATGACCTGCTACCTGCAAGCTGTTGACTGTTAGCAATATTAAAATTTGTTAGGTGTATAATAAATATATATTGAGTTTCTATTATTTACTATATATTGATCTTCATGCTCTTAAATACTCTCAATTAAGAGATTAATTATTCTGTGCGGATGCCGAATGTTGTTCGGAGATTAATCAGAATGCGTCAAGTCACACCACCGTAGCTCGGTACCACTGACGTTGCTGCATCAGATTCGTCTCCAAAGATAGAACTGCGTCCGACCTTCGCACAGAATAATTTCTCCAATTAAGGATATTATGATGCACTAGATTGATGATTGAAAATTAAGTTTATTTATGGGGAATAAATGAGGATGAATTATCAATATGATTAAAATATTATGGTTTCATCATCCTGAGTCAACCTAGTTAGTCTATGGATAATGAAATGTCAATTAGGTCATGCCATTCATATGAGTCTAATTAAGAATGACAAATTATCTCTTGTAAAATATTATTAGTGGACATAGGTTGAAGAATATGCTTAAGGATATTCATTATTTTGTTAATAAGATTTTATGGTGGAGACCTGAATCAAATAAATCATAGGCAAATAGTATAGTTTCTATTGGTTTAGAAGTATTTTTTGACATGACTAGTGTTCAACTCATTAAGCTTAATAATTTTGTACTGAGGTTGATACGTCATAAATAATTGTCTTGATTGGCCACAAATCTTGATGCATATTTGAATTCAAAACTTTCAAAATCAAATTTTGGATCATCTAAGGTCTGATTTCAACAAATGTATGGTCGAATTGAATGTCTCGATGAGAGAAACTCAATGACATCAAAATCGGCCCAATCCGGGCCCAAATAAAGAGCATGTAATGTTTTTGAGAGCTTTAGAACATTAATTGATTGACCAAATGATCTCCAAAATAGGCATGCTTATAGTCGAATCAAGCGGCTCAATGAGAAAAATCCAACTAGCCTAAAATCACTTAATTTTGACAACATTATGGCACTTAAATGTTAAATGAATATTTATGATCAAATAAACAATACAAGCCGTCCACTGGAGTGCCTAAGATTTGTTCTAGATTTCTCCATATTTATAGGGCATGTCAACCCAAAAATCTATAAATATGATCCCACTCCATACATAAAGGGTGCTTGTATAGAGGAGCTTGGGACCTTGGGCAAGAGATTCAAGAGAGTTCTGACTGAAGCTCCACCTAAGCACCATGCCGCTAGACTTGTAATAGCACAAATTTCATAAAAGAAATTTATTTGAAATTATGAAATTCTGAAGTGCAGCATAGTGGACTGGGTTGGCGAGCACAACAACACTCTACTCAATATTCTACAGTAACTCATAATTCAATATGCAGTGTAATGGAACTGTAGTTAGAGGCGTCACAGTGGCTGACATTAAATGATATTTTTATATATTTTTATATAAATATTCTCATATTAAGTCATCTCCTCCCCATTTTGCTTGCCTTGCTGGCAAACAAAGATGGAGAAGAGGGAAGGGAGGAAGGAATGAGAGAGAGGAGAGAGAAAATCTTCCGGAGCTTTTTCATTCATTACTTCTATTACAAAAATTGTTATGATCATTATAAGTAACCTCTACTCTACTTCTATTTTCAATGATTTTAAGTTTAATTCATTTTTTTCTTTAGAAATATATTAAAATATAATATCTTTCATTTTAATAAATTTTCACCATGGAACTTTTGATGTGTTGTAGATATTGTTAGCCTAAACATTTTAACTACCTTATATTAAATTTCACTAGTTAGTTTTGTACATATGATATTCTGATTAAAATGGGTAGAGTAAAGACAGGGTGCAAAAATGTACTAAATCTGGACATGAGTATATGACATGTATGTGGTTACTAGTCATTTAACATAACATGCATTTTGGCAAAATGCATATATATTGATGAGCACACTGAATAGAACTATATGTTATGATAATTGCATATAGTGTGTACATGATATATATTTGCTATTATGATATAAATAATATGAGATGCATGTAATAACAATCAAAATGAATGAACTTATGTGGAAGATGAGACAAATGATAAATAAAATAGATAATAGATGAGACAAACAAATGATAGATGTTAAATAAGATATATGATCGATAAGATATATAAGATTTATAATTGGTTAACTGATTAAATGATAATAGAAATATGACTTATAATCGAGATGTAACAAGAAGGATATTATACTAATGCGAATGTGACATATAATACACATGAAATGATTGGTTCATTTGATATAAAAATTATAAGAATTTATACGATGAGTTACTATTTATATGAATATAATTTCTTGCATATTATTTATATTGTGTGCATCATTTCAATTATAGATATTAATGATTTGCTGGGCATTTGAGCTTGTACACCCATGACTACTTATGAAGGTACACCCTTTTGTATGGCACTTTGCAGGTTATGTTCGAGTCGAGTGAAAGAAGAAACCTCTCCTCTCTCAGAATAGCTCGTTCAAGGGACTCCTCATGAGCTGGGAAGAAGCTTAATATTAGAGCATAACAGACCAGCTTTGGCCCCATCTTCCAAGAAGTCACCCTCCCTCGTGGGAGTGATATCAAAGTTTCTCTCTAAGTGAGATAAATCTTTATCCATCCTGACCATAATTAAGCTTCCATAAGAGACACATAAATATTTAATCTAATGACACAAATCTCCCCATAAGACATATCTTGCAATTGAATCAACCTTAAGACCATGTAAAGATGCTACTTACACCCTCTCAACTCAACAAGGCAACCTTAGGTCAATTTCCTACTATATGCTAGCTCAATTTCCCGATTACATCGGACACTACTCGCCCCTCTCACCTCAATGGGGCAACCTCAGACCGGTTTTCTACTGACGCTGACTTAATTTGTTAGCACATCCTACTTTCATCCTCCCTCAAGAATATCACCACTTCACTCAGCATAGATGGTCGAGCTACAATGAAGATGGATGGAATATATATCACTACAAAAAAAATTACTTTTAAAGACATATATATTAAGGCACTTAAATAAAAGTGCCTTAAGAAGTAATTATTAGGGCATGATCCTTTTTTCGCGCTAATTAAACAGAGGATTTGGCGCGCTGGGAAAAGATCGTGGGATAAGTTACGGTGTCCGCTATATACTCTGCTTTTCTTCTTCATTCATCTTTCTCTTATTCAACGCGCGTTTCGCTTCTTTCCTAAACCCTATGCCCTATACGCGCGTGTTCGATCTCTGTGTTTGATCTCTTCGTTGATCGCTGCCGCGACATCACAAGCTGCGACCACCGCATCAGGTAATAACTTTAATCACCGGCGTCAATCCTTCGAATGTTGAATGCCAATGTCTACGGATCAAAAAAAAATTCTTCTTTCCTCTTTTGATTTCTAGGGTTCTTTAGGTTCTTCATTTTCCATTGCTAATTCTCGTTCATCCTCGCGCTACATCGACAATCGCCAAAACTGCATCAGGTAAAATCTTTTAATTACTAACGTTAATCGTTCAATGTTGAATGGCCACTATCTATCGTTCAAAAAAAACATCTTCTTTCCTCTTTTAATTTTTAGGGTTCTTTACGTTCTTGCAATTTCTGAACGTTTTTTTGATGGAATTCGAAAGCCGACTCTGAAAGAGGTAAACTTTTCGCTGATCTTGAAGTTTATCCTGGAGGCCGGTTTGATTTTAGTTCTCTTCATTTTCTTGTTCAATTCGTGGCTTCCTGCTACTTGAGAAATTCATTCATGGCAAAATGTGTATTTCTTCCTTGCCGATTTTAGTTCAACATTGCAAAATTTTTTTTTTTTTTCTGTTTTGATATCAGCAAGTCTATATATTTAAAATACATTCATGAAAAAATGTGAATTTATGCAATATTTTATATGCTCAGTGTTGATATTGATGTTTTTGCCATTTTTGTTGTATCCTGGCAAACATAATAAATTGTAGGTTAACCATTTGGTAGTTTCAAATTTGTTCAAAATTACTCTTATAATAAAAATTTGTTCCGGGGGCGCTGCCCCCGGAAACCCCCGCAAGGGCGCTGCCCCTTGACCCCGCGACCTGACCGGGCAGGTCGAACCCCGCCAGGGGGCAGCGCCCCCTTGGACCCCCGGCTACCCGGCATACTGTTGGACCCCCAGCTACCTGGCAATGCCCCCTTGTACCTTTTTATCTTTTATATTTTTTACTCATTAGTGTATAAAATTTTTATCATTTTATGTTCACGCAATATTTTGATTTTGAGTTTTACGCCTCAAAACGCCTTGGTTGATTTTGACTATCTTACATCCCTTCTTAATTTGTAAGAAAAAATTTACTTCGAATCAATTTGATGCAAGACATGAATGTGAAAATGTTTCTTTGTTGAAGTTATCAACGTGAGTGATGGAGACTCCAAGTATAAAAGAAGAACTAACATTTTTAGAACTCTTTTACCTTTAAGAAATTGTTACCTACCAACAAGAACTATTCTTAAATAGTTCAGTTATCACCTAATATAATAGTTGAATAAACTTTATGTTTGATAGCAGAAGGTAAGGGGACATAAATCTAAAGTATTACAATAAGGTTGCAATAAAAACTTACATAGGTGTTGAGTTGCTTCACAAAGCTTGAGAGGTTGTTATGTTTAAAGTCATTTGGAAGGATATCTCTCGTAAACTCTAG